GTGTGTGTGTGTGTGTGTGTGTGTGTGTGTGTTAGTATGATTATGTATTTAGCATTTCAACTGATTGTGTATACAACCCACTTAATATTTCCATTTCCAAGACAATTGTGAGATGTTGTGATTTTTTTATTTTTGTGTGGATGTGTAGGTTTCTCAGGCGGCTGCAGAGCTTCAACAGTTCTGCATTCAGAACGCCCTACAAGATCCTCTGCTGACCGGTGTGTCTTCAAGCACCAACCCCTTCAGGACACAGAAGGTTTGCTCCTTCTTGTGAGGGTCCATGATGGGCATCTGCCATTGGTAAGAATGGGTTTATAATTTGGTTAAAAACTAAACAATATAAATCTGAAACTAACAATTAATATTTGTCTTCCCAGGATTTTTCCTGTTCCTGTGACATTTCTGCTGGGGGGGGGGGAATAAAAGAAGAAAACCACTGCCATGATGTGTAATTGAAGAAGCAGCAGCACGAAGCTGTCCTCTTGCCAGTTAATACCTCATGCCATCAACACAAAAACAAGAACTGAAAGGATTTGCCGCTCTGGCTGCTTTATGTCTGTTATGGTGCATTTTCATTTTAGAAGAAATATTTTGTTTAATGTCTCCGCTTGAGTCTCGTTCTCACAGCCCTCAGATTTCTGTTTGAATACCTCAAACTAAAAAGTCTGCCTTAATGAGTGATAAACAACGCTCCAGTTTTGTGGAGGGAAGGCTTTTGTATTTTTGTGTGGCACAGCAGAGGAAACTTAGTAATTTATTGTGCCTTTTTAACATTGTAGTCTGTTTCTCTATCTTTGCCTTAGACTTTTTATAACCCAAAATAAACCCATTGATTTCTACATGTCTCTGTTGTTTTTATACTTACTGTAAAGAATTGCTGAGTATATATTATAAAGAACTTTATAAGCAGAACAGGAGCTACGGTTTTATCACAGTGACAATGAAATTCGACTGTGGACGTAATTATTATATCAAACTAAATATGTGATATATTTCTTTAGGCTTCATTGAGTATTTATTCATAATTTACATAGATGAATGTCAAAAAATGGTTTGTTTGTTATATTCCATGTAAACCCCAAACAATTACAAATGCCGTTTTTGTTACATTATTTGGGGTTTACATGGAATATTTGTTTAAAAAAAAAAATTTTTTTTTTAAAGATAATTTGTTGCTCTGCATATGAAGTTCAAAAATCTAAATAGATTCAAAAAGTTCTGAAATATTTTAAATGACCTCATATCGTACGCACAGGTGCAGCAACGTCATTGCTTCTGAATATTTTCATGGAACCTGATTGGCCTAAAATAATAGAAATCAGGTGGATGTGGTTAGGGTGAGTGATTAGGCAGTTAATGCTAGAATAAGAAGCGTTTTTCATTATTCCGTGATTAAACGGCGACCTACGGGTTTTTGTATGTGCATGCTCGATAAGCTGGTTTTATTTTGATATATATATATTATTTATTATAATTATTGCTGATATAATTATTTAGCTGGCGAGATGTGGCTGAGTAGCACGTTAACATGGTGTATCGTTGTCTTTCTTATGACGCCCCTCTTCACTGAATGCTATCCTCGCATGTCTCCTCGTATATTCCAGCAAGGAGGGCCTTTGGCAAGCCAGCAGCTGTTGAGCAGTCAATATCAGAAAAGTCCGCCTAAAATAAACGACCCCGTTCCACAACGGCGTCAGAAAGCCGTGTCCGTGTACTGCCATGAAGATGCGCTAGAGGTTGTGATGAACGTAGACCTGTTTGCGTCGGGCTTTCCAGTCTATGCTGAGGAGCTGTTGCTGGGTTCCCCATCACTGCTGGACAAAGTGTCTGCAGTATCATGTGGAGCCCTGCAAACCGGACCATCACAGTTGACCATATTTGCTTATTTCAGAGATTGTGGAACCAAACTACATGTAAGTTCACATAAACCATTGGAAAACGTTGTGGCCTGTCTTAACTGGCCACAAACCTGCTTTCTGGTGGTCTTCTATGAGTTTTGCTTCTTGTCACTTAGTCTGACTGGAAGACTAGTAGGTGACCAGGGGGCGGTTGCATAAACGGTGTAGACTAGTCTTAAGTTAGTCAACTAATTGTTTTTCTTCAAGACTGGTCATAGCTTTTTTAATTCAGTTATGAAAAGGTAGATTGGTCTTATTTGTATTGGAAAAGTAAGACTGATTACCCTTTGGCAACTGCTAGTTGGTCAAACAAATTAAGACCCCATCTTAAGATGGTGGCTAAGTTTATGTAACTGGCCCCAGCTTGGCAGGCCTCAAAGAACAGGGAACCGCTGTTAGGTGATGCTTGTGAACTATTGGTAAATGGCTCACAAACGCATGTGGTTTAATTGGTCTTCTCAGGTAACTGGAGACTCTCTAGTATATTCAAATGTCATTGTGTACTCCCCTCTACCATCTCCTGATGGTGTACTTCGCCAGGAAGATGCAGTCATACCTGTTCAGTGCCAATACCGGAGGTATGCTGACAAACTTCAGATTTCTTCATTTTAGATTTATTTTAGCTTTGTTAACTTTGTTTTACGCTCTCTTAAGGCGGTACGGTGTTGACAGTGCGGCAGTGGCACCCACTTGGATCCCATTTGTTTCCACTGTTTCTGCCACCGATTATCTGGACTTTAGCCTCCGACTGATGAATGGTATAGTATTTTAAATTCACCACATTCTGCTAAAGAATTATTTAATGGATTCTTTATTATTTTTAAGATGATTGGCAGTATGAGAGGGGCTCGAATGTCTATTTCCTTGGGGATGCGATACACCTTCAAGCATCGGTTACCTTGGCCAATCACTTCCCCCTCCTCCTGTTTATTGACTGGTGTGTGGCTACACCAACATATGGCGTGGTTCCTAGTGACATCAAATATTCTTTTGTGGATTATCATGGGTGAGTTTTGTCAGTTCGTCAGACTTGAATTGATTACTGCATCTATTAGATTTAAACTCTGGTCCTGAAATGACCAATCTGGTGCTAAATGACACTGGTCGTGTAGTAAAAACTAGTAAGTGTATCCAAAGGGGTGTAGAAAATGTTATGCAAGAACTGTTTACTTGTCTTGGCACTGAGAAACACTCCACCGGTTTGTTTGTACACTTGAATTCAGCATTTTGAACTTCTGGAAAGGAAGCTCTAATCATGTAGACCGCTTTCAGATGTCTTGCAGACAGTAGGACTTCGTACTCCCGCTCCAAGTTCTTGCCGAGGAGCCAAGGCAACAAATTAAACCTGCAACTGGATGCCTTCAGATTCTACAAATTGACCAGCAACTTGGTGAGCAGAAATGAAGATTAATTGAAAGGATTGTTCACGCAAGAATGAAGGTTGTCCGAGACCGAAAGATACTATGTGACTTGTGTACAGAATTTGGCCACTTGGAGTGACATTTCATAGAAAATTGCATATCGCACGACAAACAGACTTTTATTTATATATATATATATAAACCCCGCCCCCCCCCCCCCCCCCGCCCACCGCACACTCCTGGTTTTATTTGAAACAGGTGTTCATCACATGTTACCTAAAGGTGATCCCTGCTGCCTATCCTGTGAGCTCTCAGAATCGAGCATGTTCTTCTATTGATGGAAGGTAATGACTGGCTTGTATCAAGTCTTTGTATCAATCAGTTACTCTTTATGTAAGATCCCTGTGGATGTTACAGGTGGCAGTCTGTGGATGGAAGTGATGAGGTTTGTAACACCTGTGAGCCATCCAGACGAGCTGCGGCAGAGCCTGAACCAATCCAGCCTTTCCGCATCACGCCAGCCCCTCCCATCAAGCAGCCTTATTTGGCCCCAAAACCAAGCTCTGCTGATTTCTATCATGCGAGACCTGGTCAGTCATTGGAACCCTTTAAAGCGCTCTTTCATTCAAGGCAATATGCCAGTGGTGTGTCGAAGAGAGAAACTGACTCTAAGACAGGTTTCCACCATTTTATTTATTTGTTTCATTCAGCTTTTTATTTATTCAAGTTATGTGGCACTTAAACACCCTTCTCTTTTTATAACAGACTGGAGCAAGGTTGCCACATTAGGTCCTTTGTTTCTGATCCCAAAGCAAGAAACCACCACCCAATCAACTGGGTACCCGCAGTCCGGCCCAGCTGAGGTCTTATCCGTCACTGAGGAGCTGGAACTCTTATTCAACTCGACCGAGACAAGTCCTGTGACCGATGAGCTGGAGTTTAAAACTGATCAAGAGACTGAAAGCTTTCTTCCTTTAGAGAAGGCCCTGTTCCTTAATGCTTCTGATTTATTCAGTTCAGAAGAGGGGAGTGGGTATGAAACGGGACCCTCCGCATAAGAAAAATGAGCCCAAGAAAAAAAATGGAAACTGACAACGTGACCTTTTCTAAAGTTTTAGAACATCTGATCTTGGTCCTTGCCA